ATCGCCACGTGAGACGCACGGAAGCGAACCTTCGCACGAATCCGAAAAGTTTTTGGTCGTTTGTCAACTCAAAACGGAAGGAATCCGGATTGCCTTGTTCCATGTTTCTCGGGAATGACTCGGCTAATAGTGAAAGAGAAAAATGCGACTTGTTTGCTCGTCATTTCAAGCAAGTGTTCAACGATTTCTCCGCTTCGCCAACACAAGTGCTGGATGCTGCTGTTGGGATGCCACGTGATGTGTTTAGTTTCGTTATTCCGCGCATTTCAGAAGACATGGTAATAGCCGCAACAGACTGAAGCTATCGTTCGCCTCCGGTCCTGACGGCATTCCGTCATCAGTTCTAAAACGTTGTGTAGCCAATCTCTGCCTTCCACTTGCGAGGCTATTCAATCCCTCGGCACAGCAATGTGAGTTCCCCTGCCGCTGGAAACTTTCTTATCTGTTCCCAGTGCACAAAAAAGGAGATAAACGGAATGTCATAAATTATCGTGGAATCACCTCCCTGTGTGCCTGCTCAAAACTGTTCGAGATTATCATAAATGGTGCTCTGTTCGCACGCTGCAAAAATTATATCGATACAGAACAACACGGTTTCTACCCGAAGCGCTCCGTGTCCACGAACCTGGTGCAGTTCACTTCTAACTGTCTGCGATGCATGGATTCAGGATGGTAAGTCGATACTGCGTATATGGATCTTAAAGCTGCATTTGACACGGTGGACCATAATATCTTGCTGGCCAAGCTGGAGATACTTGGCATCTCTTCAACTGCTGTGGATTGGTTCAGATCTTACTTGGTGAATCGCTATGTACATGTCAAGATTGGCGCGTCGGAATCGGATGTTTTCTCAAACAACTCGGGAGTCCCGCAAGGCAGTAACCTAGGACCGCTACTATTTTCGATCTTTTTAAACGATGTCGCCTTGCTGATACCATTAGGATGCCGCGTTTTCTATGCAGACGATACGAAAATCTACAAAATTATTAAAAGCCTGCTGGGATCTCCAGAATATGTTAGGTATTTTTGCTGACTGGTGCTCAAGAAATTTGATGAGTCTAAGCATAGAAAAATGTAACATTATTTCATATCACCGAAAAATTGAACCAATCATGTTTGACTATGTTCTCTACGGACACTGTCTTGCTCGTGTAGAGCACATAAAGGATCTCGGAGTTACCTTGGACTGCAGACTCACTTTCAGAATCCACTACACTGACATCATCTCCAGAGCTAATCGACAATTGGGCTTTATTTTCAAAATTGCCGACGAGTTTCGTGACCCGCTATGTCTCAGGTCACTTTACTGCTCGCTTGTGCGATCCTTATTGGAGTCAAGTTCAGTTGTTTGGTGCCCTTTCCATGCTAGCTGGATCACTAGAATTGAATCCGTTCAACGCAAGTTTGTGAGATATGCTCTTCGTTTCCTCAACTGGCGTGACCCAACGAACTTGCCACCGTACGAGGAGCGTTGCCGTCTCCTGGGAATCGAGCCATTAGAGGTGAGACGGACGGTCGCTCAAGCTATGTTCGCTGGAAAGCTGCTTACAGGTGACATTGACTGCCCAACACTGCTGTCACAGCTAAATATGTATGCCCCTGAGAGGTCTCTTCGTCAACGCGACTTTCTGTTTTTGGAACCACGGAGCCGGAATTATACACAACACGAGCCAATTCGAGCAATCAGCCGGCAATTCAACAACTTTTTTTATATGTTCGACTTCAATGTATCAGCTGACGTGTTTCGTCATCGGCTACTTGGCCTTTTCCGTACCGTTGACCGTAACCATTTAGTTTAAGTTTTATTCATTTAGACAGTATTTGTCAGTTAAATTTTTCAATAAACAACAACAACAATAAACAATCTTGTTTGAGGATTTCTGTCGAGCAACTTCTCAATTTTTTTTTATTACCAATGGGTTCATTACTTCACAACGGATAAGACACCGGTAGGACAGTTCCGCTAAACGATCTGTCAGTGGGAGAAAACCAGCGAGTACTTCGAGGCTCATTGTTTGCGTCGAGTGCATACAGCCAAGAGCGATTCGGAGGCAACGGTATTGAACCCGTAGCAGCTTCAGGATCTGTGTTTTTGCTACGGATTGAAAGCAGAAGCTACCGTACTCTAGAACCGACAAGATAGTTGTTTGATACAACCTGATCAGATCTTCCGGGTGTGCTCCCCACCAAGTTTTTAAATTAAATTTTAGAAAATTTGCATGAATTTCAAGGAAAAATTTAAAAAAGAAAATCAGTTCAGAGAACTTCAGGGAAGATCTGAGAACTTCGGAGCAATTCCTTCTGAGAGCTACAGGTAATTTTCAGTAACATCAGGAAAAATCGGGAATTAAGAATCGGAGGAACTTAAGAGAAGATCATACAGTTCCATTAATTTAAGGAAAATAGCGGAACATTTTATGATGTTTCCAGGTTTTTAAGAAATCCATAGAACTTCAGAGATGTTAAGAAAACTTCTGAAAACGTAAGGGTTGTGAGAATTTTCAGGAAGTTGAGGGTTTTTTTTTTTAATTCAGAACTAAGGTCAGAGCCAGGTTGTTGATGACGTTATCACCAACAAAGTCAGCATTAACATCTGCATTGAAAATTTGCAATGCAAACGATAACGCTGTCATCCCTATCAGACTCATGTTGGGTATCCGAGATCTCTGCTATATGCAGTCGATTTATGTGTTTCTGCAAATGTCTAGTAGAAAAATTTAATTCGTTTGTCTTTTGTATCTCTTCATTAGTTTTTGTTTGTCTTGTTCCCCGTCTCGATGAGTCTCATCGTTGCCCACTGGTCACCATAGCCGGTCGAACTCCAGACGTAGCTAGAATCACACTACCGTTCATACTGGCGACATCGCTCTGATGAGACAACGAAACTCTACCCCCAAGCTACTCTCCTTTTCCTATCCTTCGACAATGTACCACTCTAACCTCGGGTAAGCCGCGAGTATTCGGCCTAACTCCTACTAGACATAGAATTAAGTGAATTTTGTTGCAAACAAAGAGCAATGCATTTTCGTCTCCGTAAAGCTAACGCGATTGAGCCTTACAAATAAAAGAACTAGATAAAAAAAGTTGGAAGGGTTGTATACTAGATACGACCGCAGGGTTGGCGTTGGATAACGTCTGTTATGTGTTGTACTTAATTGTGTATATTATATTTTAGGAATATTCCTTAATAACTCTTTTGCGAAAGTTTGGTGGCCCTGAAAAGGGCCGTTTTGTTGGGCTGATGTTGTTGACAATGATGGAACGGGCGACCTTGTTTGACGCTTATATGTTAGAACAGAAAATATCAGAGGTGTCAGATACTCGCATACGCACGTTAAACTCTTTCTTGATAATATTGTGGCCCTGAAAAGGGCCATTTTTCCAACGCGCTCGGCGTAGTTGCCCTTGCGGAGCAGACGGTGAATACGACCGACTGAGAACTGCAGCAGCTGGGCATTCCATGACGGCGGCCCAGTATACCGGAGCACTGGCACCAACGCACTCGGCGTAGTTGCCCTTTCGCCCCCAGGCTCTGCTGCCGCTGCTCTGCTGCCGTTGCTCTGCTTCCGCTGCTCTGGTACTGCTGCTCTGCTGCTCTGCTGCTGGGTCGACGATCGGATAGACAATGATGGAACGGGCGACCTTGTTGGACGCTTATATAGTAGAATAGAAAATATCAGAGGTGTCAGATACTCGCATCTGATGTCTCGGTTGGAGAAAGTATAAGAATATAAAAAAATCAATCGATTTTCACCATCTTTAGACAATGGTTTACTTTTAACCATTTTTCAATAGTTTTCAAAATGAAATCAATAGTTTAAAACATTCAGCAAATTGCTAGAAATATTTCCAATCGATTGATGCCATTATCTCGTAAATCTATCGAGAGACGGTTGAGTTATTATCGTTCAAAATCTTTTAATTTTTCGTAACGCATCCAAAATGACTGTTTTCAATTTTGTACCCCCGTATGTTGCTGAAAGACGTTATCCAACGTCAAAAAATCATTAACAACCCTGTTCAGGGCAGTGCTCCACGGGATCCATAAACCGGAACATACGGGTTGCATAGACCATGAGACAGTTATCCTTATAACGGCAACATAGGAGTATGTTATTCCGGATCACAACTCTCAGCACAAGAAGTGATAGCAAAATAGTTACCCAAGGTCTGACAATTCAATAAAAATCTCGTTAGCGATTAACAGTAATAACAACAACAATTTTATTACAACATTTTCGTATCTTTCCTCCAAGAAACAAGGTACAATTTCCTTTTTTGGCTTATTCGCACTTACTATACACGGTAACCTTCTAACGCTATGCGGTGCACATTAGCTTTTATTGTACAGTGTAAATTTATCATAATACTTTTTTAATTTCTTCTTTGATTCATCACTTCGCCTATCCTTACATTCTACTGAATAATGATTCGAAATGATGAATTGAGTATTCGTTTTCGTTTGGTGGATTTTTGTAAATGAAAAATAAAATTAGGAATAGATTGCACAAGTCCCTTAATCACATCAACAAAGTTGTATCAGCACAGAAGTGGGATAGGAAAGAAAAATGCTTAAAGTAATTAAATAATACAATTAAATAACAGTTTAGGTCTAACAGTACGTTCGAGAACCTGTAGAGTGATGGGTAACGATATGAAAATCAACAATACTTAACAACATGAAACGAATGGGACAGTCCGATGACAGTCTGACGACAATGAGCGGCAAGCGACGTGAATTCGGTCTTGATCGATTTGAATAAAAACAGGGAGAAACGCTTTTTCCTCTGCAAAGCTTCTAGTAAGTGATGCTAACGATCATCGAGCGCTTTTCTCTAGATCAGTCCTCTGGTGGTGACTAGCAAAAGCTCTCTCGCTCACGGTTTCTGTACTCAAGCTTTCTGTGGGCAGTTGATAATGCCTCCCGTTTCTCGATCGTGACTTCTCACGCCGCATAAGCTCGATTATATTTACACCGTCTTCTTGCGACGTTCGTTGGTTCATTTCGTGTGGCCCGACGCCGATGACGACGGCGATGATTCGTGAGGCGTAGGGACACTTTCGTAGCTGACTTCCGCGTGGAAGCCCTTTTCGTCGGCCGTGTATCGCACGTTCTGCACTCGACCATCCGGCAGCAGAATGTGATACTCACCTCGGGTCACCCCGTTGTCCCGATTTTGGATGTGTCCAAAGTCGTTGCCAGTGTGGAAGTCACGTACTCGATAGCCGAAGGCGTAGCCTTCCGAGTCCTAAAAATGAGAACATTATGGAATGGGTTCACAACAGGGATAAATCAAACGCTACTTACGTCATTATCCTCACTGTCGTCTTCGTGTTGGTGGTGATCCTGGTGGTCGTGATGATCTTGGTGACCGTAGTGATCGTGGAGATGATCGTCATGATCTAAATAATGATGGTGATGCTCATGATCGTCATGTTCGAAATGATGATGGTGATGCTCGTGATCATCCTTCGATTCTTCATAGTGCTGTTGGTGGTGGTAGTGCGATTGTTGCTTATGACCTGGGTCTCTGGTTTGGTACTGCACGTTGATCGGTTCCACGATCGTCTCCGGAGTGGTGTGAATTGCCTGAATCTGCTGGTAACTAGCCGATTCGTGACTGTTGGCTTCACTTCCGTAGCTATTGGATTCGATTGTGGGAGATACCGGGGTTGAGCCGATGATATACGTTGCATGGGTCGGAGACGCGACCGTTGGTCCAACCAGATCCGAATCGGAAATATCCGCAACGACCTCCTTGATCGGCGTGTAATCCTTGGTCATTGGAACCTTCAGCTGAGGGTTCATCAATACCGTGTGGTACAAGGTACTGGGGTTAGGACTATCTTCGTACACAATCTTTGGTCCGTTTTCGATCTTGACACTGCGGTAGCCGGTCGTCTTTCTGGGGAAGGTCGGATGTGGAGTGGAAGATTCCGCAGGGAACATAATCGGAGCAGTGCTGTCCTGTGGTCGAACTCTGGTTTTCATCGTTTGCAGCGGCTGCGCGTTGCCGATCGGTACTGGCATGTGCAGCAATTCGTTGAGGCCTTTCAGTTGAACCGTGGGTCGTTTGCCGATGAGTGCGGAAAGAGCAGCAATGCTACTTCCGGTTTTCTCGTAACTTTCGTCCGATTGCGATGATTCCGAAGATTGATGCTGTTCGACGTGATTTCCGGTGTAGTAGGAGGGTTGCGACTGTTCCTTGGAGTCTGGGACAATGATCTTCAGACCTTGGAATGGTTTAGCTTCTTTCGGTTGTTCATATCGAAGTTCAACGGGTCCGTAGGGATTGTTGTAGTCGGGATGGTTGCTTTCCTGAGAGGAAGCTGGCGCTGAAGATTCCTTGTCGTAAGAGATTGAGATTGCCGGATGAACAATGATCTTGGTGCGGGGTTCTTTAGGTCGCACCGGGACGGGAATTTCTTTGATTACGTACTGGACCTTCGGTTTCTCCTGAATGACAACTTCTTTTGGGCCTTCGTACTCATACGCATTTTCCTGAGATTGCTCGTATCCTGGCGAAAGTTCCTTCATTTTGTATGTCTCCATTGTTGGTTTGTAGGTATTGACGTACTGGGGATGGATGACCAGCGGTGGATACGAAGCCTTCTGATGAAGCCTTTTCGGGCGATTCAAATTCGACACATCCCACCACGTTGCAGGGGTTGCCTTTTCCGGTTTCAAATTTTCACTGGAATCGCTCTTAGTTGGCTTACTCGGCTTACTCGGCACAAAACCAGTTTCTACCTGCGGACTCGGTGAGAATTTGGTATCCTTCGGACTTTGGAATGTCATCTTTGGACTGGTTGTCGAGCTAAATGGTTTCTTTGTCTTTGGTTTCTTATCTCCAAAGTGGTACTTCGGTGGCCTTGTAGGTTCTTCTCCTGACTTTGTATTCATTCGCTCATTCTCCTTAATCGCAATGTCGATCGCTTTTTGAACACCCAAAGGCAAATCCTCGTAATTAGCCATCTTCTTCTTGTTGCCCCTGGTGATCTTCACCCGTCTACTCTCCTCAGTACTCATATCTTTGTCATCCATTGGACTGTCGCGTTTGTCCTTCTTTGTATCTCGTTTTCTCGAATCCGGGCGCTCGGCAACCTCGTCAAACACCGAACCCCTCTTAAAAGTATCCGAAGTCGTGAAAGGCATCCTCAGATTGGGATTCTCCTCCTTCAGTTGCTTGTTGTACAGCTTCGCATCCCGATCCGGAGTCTTGGCATCCTGCAATTCAAACTGAACCATCTCCCGTCCATCTTTATTGACTCCCGGATCCGCCGAACGCTTCCTCCTGTGATGCACATTACCTTCCTCCACAGTCGATGTAATTGGATTCTGTGTGATCGCGTCCTGCAGTTTAAACCAGAGAATCTCCCTCGGAACGGGTTCAACTCGTTTCCCACTGCGACCCTCATCTCGTTTTACTCTCTTCGAATCGCCGGACAGTCGTTCCGGACTCTGCGGGTGAATCATCGCATCGGCCAAAGTAAAGCGGAACACCTCCCGCGGGATGATGTCCAGCTTTTTGGCCTGCCGGGGCTTGGCAATCGAATCCAGTCGTTTCGTCCGCACGTTGGCAATCTTCTGGAGATTCTCCAACCGGATGCGATCGTTCTGGGTTTCCTCGTAGCTTTGGTAGCGTTCGCTGGCTGCGGTGTGATAGTGATAGCGGGATCCGGCCGTTGCCAATGTGTAGTCCGCCAGCTGGCGGTTCCGTTTGCTCAGGTAGGCTTGCATGCCCTGAAATTGGTGTCGAGAGGGTGGATTAGTTTGTGATGGTGATGGTATTTTGCTTAGAGATTGTAACCGAAATCGTGAATCTCAGCAACTCACTGGACGACCAATATTTCGAACAAGTTAAATTACCTGTGCCTCTGGAATTTCGCAAAGTAGATTTAATTCCTACTGAATCCTCTGGGTCTAGCGTAGATAGAGAGCATCTTATTTTGATATATTTATCGATTTATCAATGGAGAATTTCCCCAATGTCGGTATTATAGACCCTTATATTGGGTGCGTGCTTACATTCAGAAAAAATGCATTGTTGATTCCTGGTGTATTATTTTAGGCAACATTGTACATTTCTCTCATTGACCACATTTTTTACGGTCTTATCTTGTTAATGTTTAGGCAAAGCCTTGACACCAATATGGTTTCGTTACAGTTTTAGAAGATTTTTCTTCTTGGAATTAAGCCATGCGGTTAGCAACATTATCACTGAACATGTACCTCTTGCCAGTGCTGCAAAATCTCGACAGTACACGGTGATATTGACAATTCTGCTTTGGTCACTCATTTGAGCTAACAGTCATAGTCAAGGCAAACCATGTCAATTGTCAATGACGATGGTGTCAGTGACGAACATGTGCAGATTTGTTTATTAGCTAAATTTGTAACGAAATTAAATGACTTGAGCAAAACAATTACATGGATCCATTTTAAGGAACAAGTATCTACGTCCTGAGCTACTTGGATAACAATAATGCGACACAGAATGTACTAAATTACACTTTTTGTTACCAGGTGAATCTTTGTCATTGACGTAAAAATTAATGAGATTTTGACGAAGGTTTTTTTGAGGATCAAGTCTGTCAGTGACTATGTGACGAACAATTTTGTCAATATCGCGCGAAAGTCTGTCAATGACAATGACACATCTCAGCACTGCCTCTTGCAAAGCCTGCCCTGAAACCAACCCTGGTCAACTAGTCAGTTTCGAATGCTTATAGCGAATTCGTTTATTATTCAGTTCCAACCTGGATCGGGTATCAAGATTGGGTCTGCTTGTTTTCTGACAAACGTCAGTTTGCTCGTTTGTTTTTAAAACCTAGCTCAGGTTGAGGTTCACACTGACAAAAAGTTCGGTTTCGCACTGGGTTGGAACTGGTGTTAACCCCGATAATAAACGAATTCGCTATTAAACGCCACCGTTCTGCGGCTCTTCGAAAATACTGCAATAGTCGTTAGTTGTACCTCAAGTTACAGTTCAATCGACCAAGCAGAGCATACAGAAACCATAACCGTTTCTTATGGATGGATGGACTTCCTTCGTAGATGTACCTCGGAAAACGCTCTGCTGACTCAGTCACAAGTCAAGACCAACAATTGAAATGGCCTTAACTCCATTTTGTAAACAAACCTTGTAAGGCCATTTTCTCGGGAACCGAAACCTACATTTTCAAACCTAAACCACAATCGAGTAGAGGAGAATTTCTTCTACCTGTTCATTATGTTGGTTTGCCTTTACGGACTTCGGTTCCCTAGAAAATTGCCTTGAAAGGTTTGTTTACAAAACGGAGTTGAGGCCTTTTCAATTGTTGGTCTTGAAGTGTGAACTCCTTACTTCGCAATTTAAGGTGATTCGCTGTGAGATCCTTATTCTTACTACCACTTCGAAACTTTAAGTTCATAAATATCAGATTCTACGACACGTACTACAATGAAACTGTTACTCCACGTTTGCTGCGGTACAGCATACATCCAGTTGCAATTTCAGATAAAATAGGGCTCTAATTTCCGGGATTTGTGCAATTGAAAATTCGAGGTGAAAGTGCATTTGTAGGCCATTTGTGGGCTCTACAAAGAATCTCCTAAAAACAGCCTTCAAAAATTTCGCTGCGCAGCCTGCTCAAGTTGAACTCCACAGGATGTCATGGCCTTTGACAATGTCTACGTCAAGCAAATGATGTTGCTAGGGCAACCAAGAAACTGGAATATTTACTATCTGCTGGACCTGACGGAATTCCTTCAGTAATGCTGCAAAGATGCTCTCCTATGCTGTTGGAGCCTTTGATGAAACTTTTCAATCTTCCGTTTCAGCAGAGAGTGTTTCCCTCGAATTGGCAATCATCATTCTTGTGTCAGTTTCTTAAAAAGGAAGATAAACGTGATGTAAGCAATTACCATGTAATTACCACATTGTGTGCATGTTTGAAGTTATTCGAGATCATAGTGATCGACGCTCGTTTTGTCCAATGTAAACATTACATTTCGCTTGATCAGCATGGATTCTATCCAAAAAAAATGGGTTGCTATAAACGTTGCTCAATTTACCTCACTGAGCATACATATAATCGATTCTGGGAAGCATGTGGATGCTTTATTCATAGACCTGAAGGCTGCTTTTGATCGAGTTGATCATAACCTCCTACTGAAGAAGTTGGAAAGAATTGGAATATCTTCTACTTCTCTCGATTTAGATCGTATTTGACCAACAGATCATTATTAATCAATCTGGCGTACCGCAAAGCAGCAACCTTTTCTTCTTCTTTCCTTTATTTAACGTCGGTCTCTGTTCCGCAATCTAGTGCCAATCACCGGCGGACATCGATTGCCATCCATTGACAGCAATCGAATGTGCAGGAAGGCAGCTTCCCCACCTGCGTAGGATATCGCACCCATTCAACACACATCCTTTGGTTTGTTTTTTCCGTCGATCTTGTTTTCCGTGCTGAGCACCAATGCTACCGACGTGCCAGGAAGGCAGCTCCCACACTTGGACCCTACCTACCGACCCATCAACTCATGAACCGGGGACCAACGGCTTTACTTCCCATCCGAAGGAAGGCGTGATCAGAGATGTTATGCCTCAGAACATCCCGGCGGCGCCGACTGGGATTGAACCCAGGCCTGCTGGGGTGAGAGGTAATCACGCTTACCACTACACCACCGGCGCCGTTAAATTCAACACACATGAGCCGGGACCAACGGCTTTACTTCCCTTCCTAAAGGGAGCAACCTCGGACCACTGTTGTTCTCATTATTTATCAACAACGTTTCATTGACTTTACCTCTGGGAATGCGACTTTTCTAGGGCAATGATTCTAAAAACTACGTCATTGTTAGCAGCCTAGCAGACTGTCTTGGATCCCTTTGAAAGCTGATGCATAAGGAACTGTACGACTTTTAGCATCGAAAAATGTAAGGTGATCACGTTCAGCAGAAAGGTCAAGCCAATCATCTATCCAAATTTGTTATCCGGACAGCCACTGGCACGGGTACAACATATTCGAGATTTGGGGGTTAAGCTTGATCATAAACTCACATTCAGATTCCACTATGATGACATCATTTCTAGAGCAAACAGGCAGCCTGGGCTCGTTGTGAAAATTGCCGGTGGATTTCGTGAAGTATTATGTTTGAGATAATTGTATTGTGCTCTTGTACGGTCAATTATGGAGTTCGGTGTTATCGTTTGATGTTCTGTGCAGAGGAAGTTTGTACACTGAAAATGTATTTTCGTTATTTCTCTGAAAACCGTTTCGTAAAAATGAATATCGTGCATACAACACATCTTTCATAAATGGTACGAAACATTCGTTTTTCCTGTCATCTGGCGCAATGTCAATATTACGCCCAGTCTTGTAAGCGGTCACGGTAGTCGACACATTTTCTGTGATAATTGACTGCCTTTGCCTCCGACACTTGTAAAGCAAGCTATCATAGTACAGTACCAAACTAAAATGTCGTATGACAGGCTCTGTCATACGACACTGTCGCCGAAGACCGTCACGAATGTATGTATTTTAGTTTTTCTCATAATAAGAGCTGCTGATGGTGTGCTTGTGTGAATTCTGAAAATAGCAAGCAATGATGTCCTAGTAATAATATTTCTGATCAGAAATGGTTTGATTTACACCAAATTGAGGAATTACAACGAAATCACACATGTCATATGATAGCTATTTTGATAATTTTCTTTTAGCTGGAATGTTATTCTACCGCTCGTGTTGTGTGAGAGAGACGACGGTAGAGCATGAGTGTTCGAATACAAACAGACTGTCGCGCACGACAACGAAGCGAGTGTAGTAAAAAACGTCAACTGTTTCAACCCCTGATTACGCCTTATTCGTATAATATACAAATACATCTTCGTACAATCAAACCAACAACTCCGCTTATTGTCTCCTAAAGTGCTGATTGTGTGTTGGAGATGGGATATTTTTTTTTAGAAATATTGTCGGTTTGACCAATACATGCAAGCTACCACAATAAATCATCGCGGTGGTTTTATGTTAGAGAAAAAAAAAATACATGTAAGCAGCAGAAAAAGCAAGAGAAATCGAAGTACCGCTCCATGAGTGCTTCTTATTTGCCTTTAGCTTTACCTCTTCTCATAGCACAGGTAGAGCGATGGATAAAGCACAGATCTAACGATCGCAAGGTGCATGAGTCGAGTCCTGTCTGAAGTCTAATTTTATTTTTTTGTCCTTTATTCCTTCCAATGATGAAGTTATTTTTAACCATCCTCACTAACACACTCCACATTTTTCTGTTTCCACAACCAACACTTGTGGACCGCTGGTTGGGTGTAGCGATAGCGAGTGTGGCAGTTCTAACGAAACTAGCTTCATACAATGTACAAATCCATTTCGTTGCAGAAAACAACGAATAAATTCATAGAACAAACGAGCGATTTCGTTGTATAAACGAAATTTTATTTTCAGTGTACGTTATGCTTTGAGAAACCTTTCATGGCCCAAGAGCGTTAAAGTAACTATAATAAAAAAAAACGGCTGGAGGAAGATGAAGTTCAAGAGTGGCCCTTCAGTCAACGGGCTCAGCCCGTAGCTCACACTCGAGACCAAACAGGCAGCAATAGACATGCAGCACCTGCTAATGATGCTGTGGTTGACCGGCGTCAATCGCTCACTTTAGCAGGCCGTCAAAGGCAGCGGATCATTTGGACGAGGGAGATAAACCACACAGCTAAAAAAAAGTAGTGTAAACTTCCGTTACTA